TTTTGTTTCTCATTTAAGAAGCTCCCTGAAGTCCAACAGACAAATGAGGCCTACTGATCTTTTTTAATGTGACCTAGTCCCTCAGGACTCCCTCCTACAAGTCAGAAGGGTATTTGATGTTTTGATCACATTGCTGAAGATGTGAAATGTAGTGGTACAAGAACTGTGTTGAACTGAGTCCACCTGAAACTCAAAAATGACATTTTCTTGTTTTATTTTATTTTATCTTATTTTATCTTATTTTATTTTATTTTATTTTATTTTATTTTATTTTATTTTATTTTATTTTATTTTATTTTATCTTGTTTTGTTTTATTTTATTTTATTTTATTTTATTTTGAAATCATCAGCATTATTGCCTAGCATCAGTAAAAATGAACCCAGCCTTTTTTCAGGACCCAAAACTCGTCATTGTAAAGTTTTAATTCATGGTCTCAAACATCTTCCATATGCAAGATCTTACTTGTTGAATAATAATTTATAAGTAAATAATACCTTAACAAAATGGTGAAATTGTGTTCTGTTGATCATGTCCTGCGAGGTTAAATGCGTATCTGCAGATCAGAGTTGTATAAGAAATGGAAAACATCATCATCTTCAAAACCAGGGTTGGTGCAGAGATAAATGTTCCAGTAGTGCCTTCACCCCCTAACTCCAAATGCACCATATTTAACTCTCCTATGTTTAAATGTCCCAATCACCCAACAGCATTAGGGCTTTTATTGAAGCCTATTTATTGTCCCCTGCCCTCAGTCGGAGGATCATCTAGTGTCAGTTTTGTTATACTGCAATTATATAAATGCACATTAAAATGTAATTTATGATAAATATCTGAATCATATTCAGTAAACAGTGTAACGTGAGGAAAAATCATTAGTTTAATTTGATGAATTAAAACTTTTAATTGTGAAACTGGTTTCCTCATTGAACTGAAACACAGACACAGATATTATCGTGAGTTTATCGATGAAAACAACCTTTGAGTCTTCTGAACAATATAAAATTTGGTTATTGATTTATTAAAATTAATATTCCAAATTAATACGTAGCATGGTTTCTCTTTCATAAAAGAGCATAAATCCATAACGCTACAACAGTTAAGTTTCAAACAGTAACTCAATAGTTTTGAGCTGAAGTTTAATGTTTTAAATCAGATTTTAAAACACAGAACTCTCAAAGATCCTTGCCTACACAATTTGCCTGCTTCATTTTTCAAGAAATTTTAACAAATTTCAGCAAAATCTGCAGAGAAAGGCCCTGTTTCATGTCATGTCATGTCAAAATGAATGCAAGCTATTTCCCTGCTTCATGTGATGCAGCTACAGTTCCTCACTCAGCATCACACACAAGCAATGTTGCTGCAAACCCATTTTCATTTTATCTTTCCACTTTTGAAAGATCCCGAGGCAGAACATCTGAAGGGTCGTAGTTCCTTCTTCCTGCATTCAGCTAGCGATCGAACCAAACAGCATCCCAAATTCAGTTTGTGTGAATGAACAGCCCCGGGGAGGGCCTTGATCAGTCAGTCTCTGCGTCGGTGGGAGCAGGTTGCTGCAGGTAAAACATCAAATATCAAACCAGAAGATTTTATAAGAGGGAGTTTAAATCTGGAAAAAAAATGAACTGATGTAAAAATAGCAAAAAGATATTCAGGTAAATCTGCACCTGCTTCCTGGACCTTCTGCACTTCGAAACTAGAACTACTGTTTTGGTGTGCAGCAGTGGTGGACTGGAGGGACGTAAAGACCCTCGCTCTTTCAATTAGCCTGTTTTCAGCCTCGCCTGTCAAACAAGTGAGAAAATCAATAACAGAGAATGTTCCCTCTGTTGCACTGACAGTTAGAGGCATTTTTCTAATTTCACTATCAAGGAAGGACAACTTTTTCCCTCACACGGCCATCCCAATGCTTAAATCAATGGCTCTTTTCTCTCATTGTGTTTGTTTTCATTTAATCTGACAGTTTCTGTGGGGAAAATAATTTGGGGTGCTGAACAACTGTAGCCTCCTGCAACTTGAGCACCATCAGCAGGCTCGCCCAGTCGATGGGTTGTGTCTACAAGTGATGTTATATGTGATTCTGGTGTGATTTATTGCACTGTCGTTGTCCCCAGCAGACTCTGCTTTGAGTCTTTATAAATGATTAGAGGTTTGAATATGCTGAGTGAGCTCCATAATCAGCAAGGGAAGTGAAAGGAAAATAGTTCAGTTATGTTTTAATAACCGAGTGTCAAAGAATGATTAATTCTAACAGAAAAAACAATATCTGTGACTAATCTTTTAATAAAAAGAGAAGGAAGTTGTTTTTTCATTGCTCACACATTCAAAACAATATACATGCAGTCACTGGCTGCTTGTGTTCTTCTGAATATGTGTTGTTGGCACAAATGCTCAGTTTTAACCAGAAGGTTTCTGAAAGCAAAGACTAAATCAGACTTATGTATTGAACAAAAACAGCCTTCTCCTTCTTTGAATAAATGTCACCAAAACAAAATGTAAACAGTAGTACATTTTTAAATCCAGTCTCTAAATATTTAAGACCCATCCACCAGTAATAAATTGCAGGAACTTCTTAATATACAAAACATGTAAAGTAAATTGAACAACCAGCTAAATAAATTGCATTTACCTCAGTAAATAGTACTTTCTAAATGTTGATGATACTTCTGTATTTGACCAATGATTTCTAAAATGTATAAATATACAACAAAACTTTTATGAAGTTAATGGAACGTGATGCCAACAGATGGGATTTATTTGAATGGAGATCAGGGTGGCTGTGAATCTAAGTCTGGTCATGCTGACCTCCTGGCTAAGCTGCATGGTGCAGTTGCATCATGCTGGAGTGTTCGTTCATCTTGTACTTGAAGAGGTTTGAGGCAGTTATGTGTGCACAGGATCGTTATGCAAACGAGCTACTGATGTAGCTGTGGATAATTCAGGGAAGAATATTGTGTAAATAAAATACATGTAACCAAAAATCATGAGGGCCTTCAATCTGAATGCTTTCCTAACTTTCTGCAATTCAGAAATAGGTTGCGGCCAACAGGTTGTAGCAAGCCCAGGGTCGTCATCCAGTGTACAATAGGCCTAACAAACAGAGTTTTGGATGGTTTGGATGTTTCAATGCAATATGTGTCGGTGTCACTTTGTTTCCCCGTGATTTGACAGCAGGAGGGTTTGGCATTCAGCTTCAGTTTTTTATGATTCAAACAGAAAAATGGGAAAGTGACCCTGTGACCTCTGACCTCTTCTCATTTGGCAAACTGTTCTCCCCCAGAGAGAGCAGCCGTCTTCAGAGGCGCTCATACACTGTTGAATCACAGGTGGAAGGGAGATTGAGGGATAGTGAAGAGTACATTGACTCCTTCAGTTGATGTCCTCGCCAGGCTAAGTCCACCAATCCGAAGGCCGGGGGGGTATGACGACGGGACTCGACTCGTTATTGGGAGCCGTACACCCCCCCTCCCCCCCCCCTGCTTTGGTGAAAGCTACAGGCGATTGGTCAACACGTGTGACTGCGTGTCCAGACTGTCCACACACAGAGCAGTAGGAGTGGGGAAGAGGGAGGATCAGTCTCAGACACACAGCAGAGCACATGCGGGCGGTGGGAGACGAGAGGGAATGAGGAGGAGGAAAAAGGCGAGCGAGAGAGAGGAGAGTGCGACGAAGATGGTGAGAAAATGAGCAACAGCAGTCGGAATATTGAGATTTCTTAAAGTGTTCAATTAATAAATCCATGTAAATGATAAATATTTGATATATTGCATTTTTTTACATTAATAAAAAATTTTACATATAGTTTTGCATTATTTTTGGTGACAAATATACTTTACGCAACAGCAAATTTGAGGAGCCACTTGTGAGCCAAAAGAACCGGCTCTCTTAAAAGAGCCGGAATTCCCATCACTATTTCACAGCATCTGTCTGCATGGAGAGGCATATAATATTCCACTCCTTCCAGGAATCCAACATATACCCCACCGGGTGTGTCCCCTGTGGACATGTAGGAGCCTCCTGCTCTGTTCGCAGTGTTGAAAAAATCGTGTTGATCGCACTGAATGACCAATTAACCAAATCCATGACTTAATAAAAACAGAGTTTTCAGGAGGAATGCAGATAAGTGCTCTGTAGGCAGACAGGACAGGAGAAAAGAGAAGTGTCTGCACTCTCTGGGTGCCAGAAGAATTTGGCAAATACCAACCAAATGTGGTTTGTTTCCTGAAGGCAACGCTATGCTATAGAGGGTTAAGGCCATGTTCACAGGGGACCTTTCCTCATGCATCTGAGACTAGATGGTCGGTCACAAGGTTCCACCAACTTTGGATGCCACAGACCGATTAGCATGTTCTCACACACCCTCACCCAACACAAATTCCCCCAGAACTCTCGCCTCCCAAAGACCAAAGTTTCACACAGTAAACATACCATTACAGTTCAGTTCATTAAGCCAATCAGAAAAAGTTTCCTATATAAGGAAGCCAGTAAATTGCATTGAGTCACTGACTAGTGTCAGTATCTTTACAGCAATCCTCATACTAAGCAAGCATGCATCGACAGTGGAGATGAAAACTCCCTTTTAACAGGAAGAAACCTCAGGATCCTCTGATCCTCGCTCAGTATAAGCAGCCATCCACCACGACTCACTGGGGATCAAGAAGACAGAGCAGACACACACACACACATACCCAGAGGCCCGAGCAGAGATGAACCAATGCAGTTGTGTCACCTGTCCACCAAGGAAAAAGAATATCAACAGGGCAGATGTGCCTACTGTGGGTAGCTAAGATGAGAAGCTACATACAAGGCCATTATGTGGAGACATGAAGTGTTGATGGAGAGTGCAGAGCAAAGTGTGACAGGTAGATGAGAGGAACACACTGTTCAAACCACAAACACAAACAAACCTCAGGATCTTTCTCAGATGCCCTGGAAATGTTCTGTCTGATATTATTTTGTTTGAGGCTCCTTCAGTAATGTCATGTCTTTCGTTCATTTCCAGAACAAAGTTCTGACCATTGATGGAGTCAAAGTGAAGCTGCAGGTATGTAGAGCCAATGACAGAATGTTTCATCATTTCTCCTGTTTAACAGGCATCAGTTCGTGTAAAAGTCATTTTACAAAGAAAGAGAAGAGTTTAAGTGTAAAACACAAGCCTTTGAATTGTGTTTTTTTTTTTTTGCCAAAACTCAATTTTACCTGAAATCAAAACTATTTTCCAATAGTTTTGCTTTCAGATTATTTTTCTTTTATTGTTACAAATATGCTCTTGTTTATGTGATGGACCTAAATGTACCTACACACCAACATTGTTTGAAGCCAGTTTATCAAACTGGAGATCAGCTGTGATGATTAGATAATGAGGTTTTTCTTAGGCGCTGGAGATAGACTCAAAATCAAAATAAAAGTAAATCTTTTCCTGGTGCTTTTTTATTTGACTGAAACATCAAATAGGTCACTGTCTGGCTGATGTGTTCCAATAAAACCATAAACACTCTGATTGCTTCCGTCTGTATTAACCCTCGGGCATCATTAGGGACATAAGTCCATTGAAGCAGTTTTTCCCTATTTGTTTGGATGCCATTTCATCAGTGTTTGTGCATATGGTACAAAACTTTGATGCAAAACCTCTTTTTTGACAAATTGACTAAATAAATTTGAAATTTAGAAAATAAATGAAGGGAACACAATGAAAGAAAACGCCATACTCTTGAGTCATTAGAGGACAAAAACGTCCACTCGTGAAAGTAGCTGTAAAAATAAAATGACTCAATATTTTTGCTTTGCTTTTAATCACAGATCTGTTAAATAACTTCAAGCATGCTCAAACCATTTTGATGGTTTTAACCTTTGAAATTTCAGCTTAATTACTCAATGTCATTGCTGTAATTCATGGGGATTAACCCAAAAGGTGAGTTGTTTTGCAAAAATAACTACTTCTTCTGCCTGGGGTATTGATTACAAATCAGTCTTGGCTATGTCATGAAATATCTAAAATATAAAAAGATTTGCACGAATAGTTTTTGCATAGCAACAGATTTTAAATTCACTACACCTCTGTCAGTGAGTGTAGTGAAGTGGGCGTTCCTTGATTTTTTTTTCTCATTGAAAAAAGTTTGCATCGCATAATCAAGCTGGCATATAAAGGGTTAAATTTAAATATATGTAAAATATTCATCTGTGCAATTTTGAATTTGTGAAAATAGAACATATTTGTCCATAATGACACAAAAAAACTATTGAAGCAAAAAAAATGTATATTTTAGATTATTTTGTTACGTAACCACGTAACTGTTTTGTTTTCATAAATTACAGCAATGGCAATGAGTAATCAAACTGGCATTTCAAGGGTTTGAATCCTGAAAATGACTGAATTTTTATAAGTTTGAACAGGGCTGAAATTGTCTAACAGATCTAGGAAAAAAAACTCACTTTTTACTTTTACAAGCAGGCGTCGGTTGTCCTATAATGATTGAAGAGTATGGTCAGTTAAAGTGATGCCTGAGGGTTAAAGCTTAGTGTTGCTGAGTATGAACTGATATTTGGGGGCTTATCATAGATCCTAAGTTTAATGAATATTTTCGCTTTCATGAACAATTACTTAGAAAAACCTGAAACTTCTGTCTCTAATTGGGGATTATTTTCATCTCATATTTTTACAGATCTGGGACACAGCTGGACAGGAGCGCTTCCGCAGCGTCACTCATGCATACTATCGTGATGCTCATGGTGAGGCCCTCCTTCTGTATTTCTGATTTTCAAGATTCACTTGAAACAAGCAAGGCAGGCAAGAGGTCATACATGAGGAGGCAGAGATTTGAGTACTTAATAGGTGGGATCGAGATCGAGCTGAGTCTCACCGCACCTCCATCTGGCTCGACCACTCACCTGTCGATATGACACTTTGGCGCTTGGAGCAGCTCGCCTCCTTAAGAAAAACATCCTCCTCCCCTTTTTTCTAAAGGAGGTGAATAGGAAATCCTCCTTCCTGCAGTCATTTTCTGTGTCTGCTCTTCCCACGAGCTGCGAGTCTGCTCTTTGTGTGTGCTCGAGTGCATGTGCTTGTTAGCGACTCTTTTTTCTGACTGAGAAACTTCGAGAGTGCACGCAGCGGGGTTAGGGGGGTGCTGCCGATCATTTCCTCAGTGCCCAACACATTCTCACTCCCAGCGCGTCAAAAACAAACGCTTGGTCAGCCACCCTCCATGTCAGACTCCTGACGCCAAAAGTGCCCTTTTCTGTTACTTATGTGCAAAAAGGGGTTTTTCCCTTATTTGACTGCAGATACCAATGCAGCGTTACACTGACGTGATGGGATGTCCGCAGCCAGGGCACCAAACAAGCTCATTGTACCTCACCTTAACCTTATCCTCTTATTTAGCCTTCCCCTCACCCCTATCCTAACCTTAACCATCTTGCTAGCGAACACGTTAGTGATGTGTCGATCGCTGTAAAAGCCGGCTCTGTGAAGTGAACGGTGGGAGCTGCCTCGTGATTGGTCGAGTTTGGACCGAGCCAACGTGAGGGGGAGGTTTCAACTATCACGGTGGAGGTTAAAAGTAGAGGGTATGTGTAACCTCCCCCTCGCCAGATGGTATGTTCTAACGTTCCCCCTTGGGCGGCAAATACGAAAATTGACAGTCAGACTCTGTGTCAGAGTCAGAATGCAGGGGAAACAAACGCTTGATCGCAGTGAGAGTAACGTTTTAGGTAGCAAGAGGGTTAAGGTTAGGATGAGGGAGAGGGGAAGGTTATAAATAGTGAAACGTTAAGGTTTAGGTGCGGTTAAATGAGCTGGTTCGGTGCCGCATCGGTTAAATGAGGGTTAAGGTTAGGATGAGGTTCGGTGCCGCATCAGCGGATATCTAATCACGTCAGTTTTACGCTGCATTGGGATCTGCAGTTAAAAAAGGGAAAAAACCCTTTTCGCACATAAGTAACGAAAAAGGGCACTTTTGGCGTCTGGGGTCTGACGTGGAGGGTGGCTGACCAAGCGTTTGTTTCCGACACAGGGTATGAGAATGTGTTGCAGTGCCACTCTCTCGGTCCTCCAGGCAACACCTTTTTACCAGGTTTTTTTCTAACTGGAAGTCTGGTTGAAATAAGTCTCCACCCATGCCTTGACTCCCATTTTAACCCACCTTGCCTGCTGGTGGTGGTTGGAGGCAGGGGTGGAATGGACTATCTGGCATTCTGGCTCTGTCCAGGTGGGCCACTTGCCCAGCTTGGGTCAATGCAATGTCCCCCACCCGCCCTCGCATTCAGCAGATCAGAGACAAGTCTGAGAGCTGCGCACTCAACTCCCACCACACACACACACACACACACACACACACACACACACACACACACACACACACACACACACACACACACAAACACTTTGAGCAGAATAGGGACAAGTCCGTGAGCTGCAGGCTTAGATTAGCAGTCAGTCTGCAGGCCTTAAAAGGTGCCATGTCTAATAGATATTGTCTATGTTGTTCCTTATGTGTTAACTGTTCTGAAAATGGGGAGTTGAGTTGACTGCTACATGAAAACAATCAATAAAAACTTTGATATTTAAAAGCTCAGGCAGACTGCTCGAATAAGGATGTGTATTTATTTAAACCCATGGGAATTTAATTCAAATTGTAATTAATATTGTAATTGCCTTTTCTCTATAATTCTTTGCTGTGACTTTCAGTATCAATTGACAATCAATGACTAAATAAGTTTGATTTAAAAGGTTATTTGTGGCTCTTTCTCAAGGTTTACGGCTCTCACAATGAAGGACAGAACATTTGGGATTTAGGGACTATTTGATGATGCGTAATTACATCTAGTGCATGTGTGTGTGTGTGTGTGTGTGTGTGTGTGTGTGTGTGTGTGTGTGTGTGTGTGTGTGTGTGTGTGTGTGTGTGTGTGTGTGTGTGTGTGTGTGCTCAATCAGATGTTACCGACATCACCAAAGCTCTGACTTGCTCTTCTGGTGTCCTTTTATGTTTCTGATGATAGAGTTAGAAACATGTATGGCGAATGAGCTTTAGTCAGAATTTATGGAAGCTAGAATTATGTTTTCTTAATATTTGAAGTTTTTCAGACAGATTCAATTCAAAGTTTATTGCAGTATTTGCTGTTTCATTGAAACTTTGGATCATTTTAGCCTCAAATGACTCAAAATCTGCAAAAGCAACTGGAGCGATTGCAAAAACTAAAGGATTTTACACAAGATGGTGAGGATGCAATGTGTGGAAACTTTATCAGTTTGTTGAATCAACATCACAGCAAATGTCAGCTCTATCGATGCATCGGGGTAAGTATCTTCGACAACATCCAGCGACACGGTCAGAACTCTCTCTCATACAGGAGCTCCAAACAGCGTTCTCATAATTTGCTCCAAAAAAGCCAAATTTTCTTGTAATCTTTTAAAATTTGGAGAGTGGATCTATCTGAGCACCTGGGAGTGATTCAATTAACCCGGCGTGGTTCCATCCGCCTGGCCCGGCAGCGCCGAACCCGGCGTGATTACACCGGCCCAGCCCAGCGGTACCGAGCCTGGCGCAGTTCCATCGGCCCAGCCCAGCGGTACCGAGCCCGGCGCGGTTCCATCGGCCCAGCCCAGCAGCGCCAAACCCGGCATAGTTCCGGCGATGGGCTCTAGCAACATCGACTCCGGAGGGGTCCTGCAGAGCCAGGCCCAACAACATTCATTGCGTCGCGGTGAGCACGGGACCAGAGGACGACAGTTGCAGATGAGTGGAAGAGATGCCAGGAGGAAGAGCCGGTGGACGAGGTAAAGAAATGGCCACAGAAGACCTGGAGGAGATCAAACGACCTCTGAACTTTATGTCAGGTGAACTGTCAAAAGTAACATCACAGCAGGATCGGTTATTGAGACTGATGGAGGAGGTGAAAGTGCTTAAAATACTGTTAACTGAAAAAGATAAGAAGATTTCGGCCTTAGAGCAAAGAGTTGATGAACTTGAACAATGTACAAGACGAGAGGATTTGGCGATAACGGGACTAGAAACCCGACACAGAAGCTACGCAAAAGCAGTAGCAAGTCACGACGCAGCAGAAGAGGCTTCAGACAAAGGACTTGAGACACTAGAACAGCAAGTTGTTACTTTTCTGCACAGTAAGTAAGAACATAACTATTCAAAGAGATGCTATTTCAATATGTCATGCACTGCCTAAAAATGTTGAGAAAGCTAAACCGACTATTGTTGTAAGGTTTACCAGCAGAAAACAAAGAAACAGCGTTATGTTACAAGCAAACAAGCGAAGAGGCACCAATGTGTACATAAATGAACAATTAACCAAAAAAATGGGACAATAGCTAGAGAGGCACGGATGCTAAAAAAGCAGAAAAAAATTGTAGCTACATGGACAAGGAACGGGAGTGTATGGATCAGAGAACAAGAAGGGTCACAGGCTAAGATAATAAAGGAGCTGGGAGAACTGGAAACATTTAATAAACAGTGAAAGTTGGAAGAGGGACGTAGAATCAAGTAAAATCTCATATAGCATCACATAAATGAAATACAAGTAAACCACAACACAATCATATACTAAGTGATTCAGTTTTGACAGAAGGTACACTCTCGATCATTCTCTTCAATAGTAGAAGTTTGTATTGCAATTACTCTAAAATATTGGATTATTTAACACAAAATAAAAAACCCTTTCAAATCATTGCTATAACAGAAACATGGTTAAAAGAAGGCGATGAGGAGGAGGTACAAATAGAGGGGTATGAAATGTACTTTATGAATCGGAATAATAAAAGAGGAGGTGGTGTTGCACTGTATGTATGTCACAATTTAAAAAGTAAAGTCATTCATAACATGTCAACAGCCATCCAAGATGTAATGGAAATGATCACTATTGAAATAATCTCTGAAAAGACAAAAAACATAATAATAAGTTGTATCTATAGAGCACCTGGATCTTGTGTAGAATCGTGTACAAGTACAGTTACTGAGATGTTGAGTGGAATTTGTAACAAGGATGTGTTTCTCTGTGGGGACTTTAATGTTGACCTGGAAAATGTAAACAATTCAAAGACAGCAAACAACTTCATAAATTCAATGTATCTACTGGGTCTGTTTCCACTGATAACCAAACCAACAAGAATTGACGCGCGTAGCTCAACAATTATAGATAATATATTTACTAATGCTTCAGAAGGGATAGAGAGAAGTGGAATAGTGATGACTGATATCAGTGATCATCTGCCAATTTTCACAGTCTATAAAAATCACCAGATCAAAAATCAACAGAAAATGGAAAAACTTATAAGGGATAGGCCACAAAACGCTATAGATGCACTAAAAAGAGATCTGGAACAACAAAACTGGGATGAAGTATATGTTGATGATGTAAACTTGGCCTACAATTCTTTTATAGGAATATTATGTAGTCAATATGACAAAAACTGTAAAAAAAAACTAACAAAAAGAATGTAGGATGAACAAACCATGGATGACAAAAGGGCTAATGAATGCCTGTAAGAAAGAATACATTATACAGATGTTTTTTTAACTAAGAACAAGTGAAGCAGAAAGGAAATACAAAAATATAAGAATAAATTAGTTTCTATAATCAAAAGACAAAAAAAAGGATTATTATTGTCATGACTTCCTATCCTTCACCCCCCTCTGCCTCTTCATTCAGCTCACCTGGTCCCCTCACCAAGCTCCCGCCAAGCCCTGTTTTCCCTAGCAACCTCAGTCAGCATCACAATC